TGGGCATAGTCCCTATTTAGGCCTATTTCGAAACGAGCTCAGGAACATTTCGGGTCTAGTTCGGGAGCATTTTGGTACGGTACGGTAAGGGACCGTTTCTGTACCGTTTTGAGACTTGTTCGAGATCATTTTGGGACAAGTTCGCAACTTTTTCAGAACCACTTCAGAACAATTTTGGACTAGTTCAGGATAATTTCGGGATAAATAGCTCATGAAATGATATTGAATTGTTCCCGAAGTGGTTATAAAAAAAAAAATCGTGTACTGGTAACGACAAAATAAATTGAAATTTTTATTTCATTTCCAACCCAACATATTTATGTATGTAACTGAATCACCTAATGTTCTGCCAAGCCGTATGCAAATGTTTACAAATCAAATTTCATGGCAGTCATGTTTTTTTTTTCTTACAATAGAATTGCGAACATAAGAATTGGTTATACAGTGTGTATTCAGCATTAGTAAACTATTTTTCCCGACCATATTTTTTTGTTAATTAAACACTTAGTTGCTAACTATATTCTTGAATAGTTTTTGCAGCAAGAGTTTTCGCCCGAATTTTAATAAATTTTGTGAGTATATAGCCGCCTTGCTTATCTAAAAACTTGGATACTAATTGTTTTTTAATGTTCGGTTTTCATGATGTCGCTGACATATTCACAGTAATAATGTCACCTTCGACAGAACGTTTAGATATTTCAGATAAAATATGAATGTCGTGTCGCGTTGTACGGTCGTTGTGTTGCAAACATAATTGTCTTTAATGTTCAGTTTAAATTTTTTCTTAAAAAATGCAATTAAAAAAAAATTAAGTAACATTTCTGACAGCAAATTAAACTCAATGTTAAAAACAATCAGTATGCTAGCTCTTAGATAAGTAAATTTTTTAATTTAAATTTACCTTAATTAGTCTGCTCGACAACAAATTATCCGGATTTGGGGTTCGCGTGCGCAAAAACTTGCAAAGTAGGTAAAATTGAGAGTACAAAGTGGTACTGGTGATTTTGAGGGGAAATTGCTAATTCTTGCTGGAAAATTTTTTACTAGTTTAAAATAACTTATTACAACTCCAAATGTTTGGGAAAAAGCAATTACTAGCTTAGAAAATTGCTTTCTACATCTTATTTGGCAGTACAACCGATTGTCGGTCTGGGCCCAAATCAAAAAGCTTCTCCTATTGCCTTTATCCTATGCGAATTTGTGCCAGTTGTTCATTGATAAGCTCATATAGTTCATCATTCCATCTTCTTCGATACCCGTAGTCCACGCGAACGAGGCATTAGATCTTACGTAGAATAGTTCTCCCCAAATCCATCCAAATCGCTCCGTTCGTCCTCCCATTTCCACGATAACTCGAGCAAAAATTGAGATATCTCAACGAAATTTTGTATGTAGGTTGCCCTTTATCCAAGGTAGGTTGGTATTGAAAATTGACGAAATCGGAGTGTTACCACGCCCTCTTCCCATATAACGGTATTTTCAAAAAATGCAAAAACTATGATATTTCAATAAATATTGGATCCTAATTGTTGAAAATTAGTAAGTGAAGTGGAATTTCGGTACATATGTATAATATTATTAAGAAATTTTTGGAAAAGGTGCGTGGCTCCGCCCACTTATGTTATGCTTTATCTCAGTAGCCACTTCACCAATCCTTACCAAACTCGGTACGAGCCTTGCTTTGGATCTAGCTAAGAAATCCGTTGAAAATCTTCGAAATCAAGGAATAACCACGCCCACCTGCCATATAACGGTAATTTACAGAAACACAAAATTGCGATAAATCAGTAAATATTAAAGATAATTTATTCAAAATTGATGCTTGCAACAATTCTTAAGCAAGAAATACGTTTGTAATAAAATTTTGGAAAATGGGCGTGGCACCGCCCACTTATGATCACATATATGTATCTCGGTAACCGTTCTACCAATTTGTACCAAACTCGGTATGGTTATTGTGCTTGCCACATAAAAGCAAAACGTTGAAAATTATTGAAATCGGACTAAAATTGAGGCCGCTTTTCATATAACGGTAAATTTCAGAACTGCTTGAAACTTCAAAATTTCGAAATCTAAGGGCTTCTAATTTACTCAAAATTGATACACCCCGGCTTACCATCTAGCGGCAGCTTTCGGAAAGGTGAAAAAACATATATTTAATACGTGCGTCGGGTAATTAATGTTCGGCTCCGCCCGAACTTAGACTTTCTTACTTGTTTGGTAATAAAGTTTTCCGGTCACAAAATCTTCGGTAGCGTGCAGAATAGACCTGTTAATGACTACATATATAGGTGTAACCACTTTATCGCAAACTATTAGAATTTGACGTTCGCGTATGCAAAAAAAAAACTTGCAAAGAAGGGGAAATTGAGAGCGCAAAGTGACAGTTGATTTTGAGGCGAAGTTGCTAGTTCTTGCTGGAACAATTTTTACTACCAGCAATTTGCCAGCAAGAGAAACAGCTCATCTGTCTGCAATGTATGAAAATAATAGTTTCGTTCCTCAACCTTTCTGGATAAAAATTGTAAAACTGCAAAATTTCTCTCAAGGAAAAAGAAATAACCAAAAAGTACGGGTACGCTTTCCGGGTAAAAACTGATAAAAGTGTCAAATACACCGTAGGCGCAATTTTTTGTTTGCATAGCTGTTTTTTATCATTTTGCGATTTGATAAATTATACGCAAATACACAGGCACAATAACGAAAATAGTTACTTGAATATTTGTTCACAAGAGCATATTTAATAAGGTGAAAATACAGATGTATTTTTTTTTTGCTTATTCAACTTTAAGTCGTTTCGAAAACATTGAACAGCGACACTTTACCAGATTTTACCAGCAAAAATTCAGCGGGTAAAATCTCGCAACTTCTGGCAAAGAGAGGACCGATTTTGTACTCCCATTTTTTTTTCCTACTATGCCAGAGAATTTTGGTAAATTCGTGTAAGTTCGGGAACACTGATTTTTATGTTTAAAAAAGACATTTATGTTATAAAATAAATTCTTAGAACTCCAAAACTTTGGGAAAATAGGAAATACTAATTTACTTACTTTTGCGTAGAAAATTGCTTTGGGCAAACTTTTAATCAGGGACCTAGAGCGCATTCCGACTTTGGTTTAGTTCTACACGAAAACAGAATATGTCAAAAGAACCAAACGGGAGCAAAATGTTCGGGAATATTTACGCCAAAAACGTAATGAGAAAGAAACTTTCGGGAACCTTTAAAAAAGAACAAACTGAAATAAAACTCTTAATAACTTTCCCAAGAATAACATAATGAGCATTAAACTTTCGGGAACGTTTCTAATGAGAACGAATGTAACGATAACGTTTTCAAGGAGGATAGAACAAAAGTCTGGGGAACGTTCTACTAGAGAAGAAAATTTGTTAGAACTTATGAATGAGGAGATCGTCTGCGTGTTGGTATGAAAACTGCTGTTAATCCAGAGAAAAGCTGGCTCAACTTCCACATCATTTACAATGCTTCATTTATGGAACCATTTCTCATTATCTGTACAAGAAAATTTCGTGTCTTAAGTCTTTCGTTGACTTAATTTGCATAGTTAACTTTCAGTTCTATTAGCTATAATGATAATACAGCGCTACGAGAAGAATGTGACTCTCGCTTCCATCCTTCCCGAATAATTCAGAGAAGATGTGTTCCCCTTTCGTTCTCGGTTAGAACGTTCGAGAGTTTTTAGTTCCCAAATAGTTGTTCTAGAGAAAGTTCTTTAGATTATTGTTCCCGTTTTGTCCTCTACCAAGCCCGATGTGCCACTACCGAAGCCTAACCTTTTAACGACATGATGATAGTTGCAATTGGCAGGGTTTTTTAATCTCGTCCCAAATCGGCAAAGAGTTGTAGTGCTAAATCAGAAGGACGCCCTTAAATAAAGGGTATAAGTAAATTTCTCCAGATCAGCAAATACTACAACTTGATAAGCCTTGCTATATCTCTTAAGTTAAATTTCTAGGTGTGCAGTAAATATACCTGCACATATTCCACAGTTCAATATGTAGCCGTTTGCCAAAACAGGCGTCGGTGACGTTCAGAAAATATTCAGGCCGATTCTGAACAGACTCCCTGGGAGTTTTCTTCAATAAATGCATATTTTCCTATAACTTTCCTTTCCAGAGAGCCCATTGCCTCAACTTTAAGATAACATTCAATATTTTAAATCCAGAGCGTGGCGTGATGATATTGTCCATGTAAACACAAAATGCTGGCCGACCGTTTCACCTTACGCCATCATCGCAGCGATGCATTTCACACCAAATGCTTTCAACCGAAATACCAATCCGTATGCAATAATCGGACGAATCTCCGAATTGTATATCAAGACAAATCGGATACTATCCTTTTCAGTTAAGAAGATGTCTTGGGTCTCAAAGTAAAAGCTGTTGTGAAGTCTTCCTTGTGGTTTGGAGCTTTTCATCCAATTTTACCAAATTTCTGTCGGGCTTAATCATGACTCCTCAGAAAATTAGCCGCCAACCACTTGACGGCCAATTTTAATATTTTATTGAAGTGGCGGGGCTACTTTGTACATACATATGTATGTACTTCATAGACGATGTGTTTTTGTACCTGGGCTTCAAGATCAATATGCCACCAAATTTGGATGAGTGTTGGGTGAGTTCGTTTGAGTGGGCAAGCTAAGAGTTGGTTTGCATTATGCGTGGCCAGAATAGCTTCCTCCATTCCTGGATCAAGGTACTCTCTCGGTTTCAGTGCCTAAGGAGACTTTCGCTATACCAAATGGGAATCTGAACATAGTAACTGGTAAAGCTAAGGCACGCGCTGGTTTATCGCTTGATATGTAGCGCCCAATGTTTGATGCCTTATGAATATAATCGCACTTTATTCATCAGACCTTTCAACCGGAATTTTTGGGGAGGCATCGAACCGGTTTTCATGCTCTTTAGATTTTATTAAATCCCAACATAACTCCTACCTCCGCTGCAAGGATCCGCCGCTTTCTCAAGATATATACACCATATTAGTTATGAATATTTAAGAGTGCAATAAATTTATCGAATAAAATACATACAATAAAATCTAGTAACTACAATCTACAATATTTAAATGCGTTTGATGATTTTATTACATAACGCCAGTTATAGCGCGATCCAATAGCTGTTGTACAGATGTAGGCATCCAGTTTTTCATGCTGTTATCGCTTAACATACACACGTTACGATCAATATAACAGTACAGCTTCCCAACGCGGTAAACCTACAAAATATTAACAATCATTATTTTTAGTATACTAAATTCATTTATGCTTTCGACCACCTGCTTTCCCAACTCCCTTCGGCCTGGCATTGGCGCAAAGAGTATTCCTCGCTCGGCACACTTTTGCGATACCAACTCTTTGAACTCCAATTGTGCAGGTGCCGTCATTTGTATATCCAAAATTGTTGGTGGTGGCGGTGGTGGTGGTGTTGCAGTGATTATGGGTGCAGGCATTGTTGCAAGTCCCGGTGCAAGTACATCTGTAGCACGATGCATTATTTCGAGCGCACGTCGCATGTGCTCTTTGATGGTTGGCTCGCGCAATATATCCTCAGTTAACATGCTCTTCCAACCGGTGTACCAACGTGATATCTCCGCAAAGTCAGGCGATTGATTTAACCATAGTACCAACACTTGCATCCATTTGGGGAAGAAGTATTTATCAAGCAGCTGTGCCATTTGCTGTGTGGTTAGCAGTTCATACCACTCCCATACTTGATTCCACAGCTCGAGTTGTTGTTGTAGTGGATTGATAATGAACTCGCTTAGTACCAATTGCAGTTTTGGTATGATGTGTTGCGAGAGAAAACGCTGCATTTCGGTATCATTGAAAGCACCCTTCCATGGTGTGAGCATTGCCCGTGCAGAACGATCTTGTGGCATCCATGCCTGTAGGGCAGCTGCTAATTTTTCACGTATCGTCGGAAAGATGAATTCCTCCATTTTGTGGCCTAATATATTGTTCCATGGCAATATCCAAATGTGTATGGGCACAGTATCTGTGAGAGGATCCCAATCGCGTACAGCATTGCTTAACTGAGGCAACACCAGCTGTTCGAGCACAGAGTCTAGTATCCACGTTGGAAATAGTGGCGCCCAGCAATCGAGCAAAGCAGCCATATGTTGGTGTTGTTTGGGATTCCAAGAAGCAGCACATGCACGAAAGCTCGGTATAACTCCGGCCCATACCAGCGAGGAGTAAGGATCAAATATGTTACGCGATTCGTTTTGCGGATCCACATTTGATTCCAATATTCCGCGCCACTTCTTTATTAGGTCAACATATTTGGTGGGCTGTTGAAGTGGTTTCCAATTCTCTAAAGATATTTTAACCAACGGTGCTATGACACCAGCAGCTAGATCGCCCAGTGCAAACTCCTTATACTCAGCAGCATAATCTTGCTGTAGTTTCACAAAAATTTGTTCGGCACGTTGAAGTGTCAACAATTCATTACTCGTGGTCAGCTCCTCTACTAGCTTTAAAGCTTGCTCCAACGTGTCGATATGATTTTTTTCCAGCTGTACAATTTCATTTAGATTTTTTCGCTCATGTTCGAGCGCAGCTTGGCGATCTGTTGCTTCACGTTCTGTTTTATCGAGTGCAATAATATCCTGTTCGCAGAGGTTCACGATTAGCTGCAGATTGTGCATCAGTTCAGGCAGGGCAAAGGTACTGCCTTTCTTCGAGGTTAAACTGCTAGACGCAACAGCCTGCTCCAACTCATAAAGCTCTTCGTCGGCTACCTTCGTTTGACCCAGTGCATGGTAGCCGCTAAGTACACGCTTTTCTGGTCCGGTCATGTCGATGACGGGCACGTTTCCAATTTTTTTGCTGTAAGAATTTTAGAGACTTAGGTTAAGCTTTCATTAGAATGAGTGCATACCACAATGCCAGTACCTTATCTTTTCTGAAAGCATGAAGTTTCCTTTTTTACCCTTTTCGATCACCTCTTCAACCGAACGATAGTAGTAACGCTTGCCCTTATCTTGACGTCCATCGCCACTCTTCTTCCATTTGTTTAGTTTTTCTTTGAATTCTTTAGCTTCGCGTACATCCTCATCTTCTTTTACCACCGGCTGCAAGTTAATTCAAATCAGACTTTTAATATATTATACCACGAGCTATGGCATATGACTCACCCCTTTCCCGCCAACGCTGGCTGCAGTCTCAGGACCATAGGCACCAATAGCACCACGTCCTTTGCGTACATGCGCCTGCACTGGTTGCGATATACCCTGCAAATCCTTACCCAACCCCATGCCGGGTTTATAACCCATCTGGAGTAGTAGCTTAGCGCCAATACCGCGTGTGTGTTGCTCCCAGGCGCCTACATTTGAATTACCAGTTTGTCGGGCATTATTAGCACGCTGTTGTTTGCCCATTTCAGCACGCTTATGCTGCGTTCGTTCATCCTCAGAACTGGCTGCCGAGTCACTACTGCCACCATCGGCATCTTCCACTTGTTTACGACCAAAAGATGGACGAGAATCTTCCTCGTCACTTTCTTCATCGGTAATTTGTCGTTCCGCATCATCTTTCTGTGCTTTTTTATCTTTCTTACCGGCTTGCTGTATGCCACCGGCTACAAAACTAACCGGGGCTGTGTAGTCTTTTGATTTGCTGCCGCCACTACCACCAAGTCCGGTGCGACCACGGCGTCCACGCCGGCTGCTGGACTCATCAGCGCTATCATTATCACTATCGTCGGCCCAAATACCTAATCAGGATAGGTAAATTTCAAGATTTTTAAGACTGTTTTGGTAGAAAAATCTAAACATTTATCTCACCATAAATTTGCTGATTCTTTGAAAGGTTTCTACGGCGTCCCGGATTGAATTCGTTGTCCAAGTCATAATCGGTAATCTCAAAGCGCTCATATTCATTATCAGACATGCCGACGCTGGCCTATAATAATAATTTTCGGTAAATTTGCAAAAAAAAAAGTTTTATAAATACTTTGTACGCACAAATTTACGAAGTTACACAGAAAACGTAAATTACGGATGCTTGGCGAAAACAGCTGATAGAATGCAGTTCTTAAGGCGCCATCACAGGTAGCAAGTGCAAGTAGTTTTGAAAAGTTTGTCATACACAAAAATTTCCAAAAGTGATTACACGGTACACTCCCTCTGTCCACCACTTGCAGCAAAAAAAAAGAAAACAAAAAAAATGGTAGTGCAGCATTAAACTATTTCTCGAAAGCGATTGTCGTAATTTTAGAATCAGTTACAGCTTGCAATTTTTATTTCCGATATTTCTGCAAATCTGCAAAACGCACTCTGCGGCTCTTTTTGCACCAAAATGCGTAAAAAAGTAGTTTTCGAGTGCAGCTTTTAAATTTACAACATGTTAAGAAAAAATTAAAATAAAGCATATGGCTTGAAAAATGTTTTAAAAGTTTTAAGAATTTTCTTAGTAGGCTTTATATTGGCTGCATTACTTTATTCATTCTGAACATTTGGAATAAGCTTTTTTGTTATTTATTCTTTAGACCGTTCCTGATGATACATATGCTAACGTATATTTGAAACGCATTCTGTTTATTCCGGCTGTGAAATTATCCGGAATGTATAAGGAAACGCAGTCATTATGTTAATTCACGTTTAAATACTTCATATTAGGAAAATATATAAGCTTTGATTATTTTCGATATTTTATTCATTATTTTTATAAGTATACACAATCTCCCGAAAAAATAAGCTACACGACACAAATGAAAGTTGCTAAAAAACGATTGTCGAAATTCGTTTTCTTTCAGTTCCAGTTATACCTTTACAGGTCTATTCTGCGCTGGTAACATAAATTTTGTAACAGGTAATTAAAGTGGCTGTAAATTTTTAAACCCTTTTTCGGATTCTGTGCTCTCTTGTAACCGGTAAATTTGGTAACCATCTCATAACTTGGTAATAAAATATTGCCCCAAGAAATAAGCAATACAAGAATTTACACAAATCTGCACAGCAGAATTGCTGAATATTTTCTCTGCATTACCAGGTTTATTCTGCACGTTACCGAAGATTTTGTAACCAAAAAATTGTATTACCAAAAAATGTTACCACTTCTTGTCACCGAAATTGTAGGTACGTTGGTAATGCAGTGAAAATATTCAGCAATTCAGCTATGAAGATTTGTAGAAATTCCTGTATTGCATAATTCACGGGGCAATATTTTGTTACCAGTTTATGAGATGGTAACCAAATCTACCGGTTACAAGAGTACACAGAAATCGAAAAGGGTTTAAAATATGACAGCCACTTTAATTACCGGTTATAAAATTTATGTTACTTGCGCAGAATAGACCTGTTAATATAAATTTTCAAAAGTAATTGCTGCAAAGAGCACTTGTGTTGCCACTTTTATCTACACTCTTACGAAGGCTTTAAAAGTGATATTGCATCAGGGTTGCATTGCAAACAAAAAACTTTGCTTTAGGTACACAAATACCTAAAGGTTATATCGTAAAAGATACCGCAAGATTAAACGAAAAATATTAATTAAATTATTTAGAAGTCAAAAACTTGAAATAACAATTATTCCTATCACAGTCATTTAATAGATTGCTCACGTATAGGTTGCTTTTGTGAGATATGGGGAAAGCCTAATGGAAAATGACTCAAAATGTAAATAGATCATTAAATTTTTTCTGTGATTTTACTTCAATTCATTTCTTGTACCTACATATTTTTAAGCCCTTCAGATGTGAGGGCATACAGGCCCACACTTAACGTAGTACATATAGTACATATAATGGTAATAAATAAGCAATTAAACCATATTAATAAATACCAACCGGCATTTGTTATTGTATTTAATCAGAAACATATTCATTTTTATATCTTCTCAAATTGTCTTTCTCATTCTCCCATTCCATCCTACCAACAACCATTATTCAATCCTTTTTTCACGCACATGCGCAAGCATCCTTTCGCATACAACTCTGTTCAATCTGTGAATGCAATTCTTCACTGTTTCTGTTTTGTCTTCATTCGGTGTTTGACGTGAGCGCACGAGTTGTTGCAATTTCTGTGGAGTAGCGGAAGATTTGATTCTTTGTAAAATTCATTATACAAAATTGTAAATTTCCGGCAACTGAAACAGTTTTTAAATTTGATTAAATATATAAATCTACTTGGGTAATCGATAAGTGCGGTTTTGTGTTAATATCATTGAACAAAAGTCGAGACACGACACATTCAGTAACTTCTCCAGATTTTCTTATAAGAAACGTGCTGCCTCGTCTGTCAAACGTAAACGGCGCAACTTGTAATAGCTTTGTACGTGTGTGTATTGTTGTGTTGCTTAAAGAAAGAAGGGAAGGAGATAAACAGAAAAGTGCATTTTTATATGGAAGGCAATTAAATAAATACGATCAAGTATATAAAAACAAAACCTAAAAACACGTGCTATTGCCAAACCACAACCAAATATAAGTGAAAACGCTAAATAAATTGTTTCGTTGCCGGTTTGAGAAGTCAAGGTTGTTAATTTTCGTATAAGTTGCGTACTTGCTGATAATTTACCGGTGAGGAGCTTTTTATTGGCGCTAAATAAGCAAAAATGGTGCAGGTGAGTTAGAAATTTGTAAAAATAATTTGTTTGGTGAAAAAATACAAAACATGATACAATTAATATTAAACTGCCAAAGAATTAACAAAACTTAATTAAATTCAAAACAATATTAAAGTTGAAAATTAGAAAATATCGTTTTTTTTTGTTAAACACCAATCTCTATTGCTTAATCCTACACAAACGTTCAGCTTAGCAAGGAGCTCAATGAATTCAAAGTCGATGGATATTTATGTTGGAAATGTGCTTCACAAATATCTACATATACATATATGTGGTTAGTTAAAGGAGTCTTAACTAACTACGGTAAATTTTAAAATCGAATTTTAAAGTTAAACCAAACTAGCCGAATTTTAATTAACTATCTGAGGCGGGCAATCATGAAAAATTTAAGAATCACGCAAAATTGTTTATGATAGCGTATATTTGGAACGTATATTTTTACAGCATTTCATGCATTTTATCATGAAAAATTAATAAAATTGATTTCTAAGGCTGCGAAAATTGTTCGCTGAATTGCACAGACAAAAACACACAAAATCCATTGTACGTATCTTCGGCCGAGTTCCAATTTCGTACCGAGTGACGTAAGTTTCTATAGGTACATATGATTATAATAGTTCAATTTCTAATGCTTCGAAAGATTCCGCCTCAGTTAATTTCTAATGTACGGCTAAATCAGTACCTACTCAAAGGCTACGATTTATACTTTTTACCATGATACAATAATTTTTAGAAGGTAGTTTCACTTCAAAATTTTTGACATAAACCGTGTCTGTGACAAACGAGCAATGTGGCTACTGCTACGATATAGAACTTGGGGATTATCGCTTGTTATTTTAGATATTTTTTAACAGAACATGTAAAGATTTATATGTTTCATAACTGATCACTTAATTTTTAATATAAATATAATAAAAATCATAAAAATGAAAATATGACAGCAATATTTCCTGTTTATAATGGATTAGATCCATCGCACACCACGGACTTTATCGGCCGCCAATTTAGATGTGCTCGCTAGTCTTTCCATTGCACCACAACCTATTGGTCAGAGCGATTAAGCTGGTGTAATGTGCGGACCTCCATACATCTTCATGTACATATTTCAAGCGAGCCCTATCATTTAAATAGGCGGCCGATAAAGTCTGTGGTGTGCGGTGGCTCTTATAGCTATGTCCTTACATCTATTCCGTGTGTTGCAATATCCACGAAAGCAGCAGTTAATTTTTTATGAAGAAAATTATTACAAAATATTCGAAAATTTCTCTACTTATATGTTTGGCTTTTCTTTCTTTTATTTTTCCAACGTCAAAAGCTGGATTTTTTTTTTGAAAAAGTTGGTACAACAAAAAATACGAAACACGTTTTCTGTCAGATAGCTAACATGGCGGATAAGAAGAAGAAGTGAAACTACTTTCTAAAAATTATTGTATCATGCTTTTTACTATGCAATTCTATCGCTTCCACAAGTACTAAGGTTTGCTATGCTTAATTTACATTCATCCGTTCAAAAATATGTACCTAGACACTTGCAAAGAGCTTTAAGAAAACTTTCCAGTGTCAACTTTCAAAGTAAGAGCTTTAAGAAGCGTTTACAATATTAGTTTTGAGATTAGAGTGCTTTTTTGAAACATACTTCTGTATAAATATCAGCGCTTGGAGTTGAAGCCGAACTTCGTATAACGTTTTATTTTTATAATTAAGCAAGTGAAATTTCACTCCAAGACGGATATTGTAAACATATGTAAGAACATTTCAAAATCTTAAACTTTTATAGCCATAATAAAAACATTGGATATTAAGAGTCTTTTAGGGATTGTTGTTGTTGTTGTTGTTGTAGCAGCATACAAATTCCCCAAAAACTTTTTGAGGAGTGTTGCTGGAGTGACAGTCCTTGGCCAGATATAAATCTGGGTCGTTCCGGTTACGTAGACCCGACTGTCGTGGGAACGTTTTTTAGGGGTTGTTGCGGCGGCTGGAAAAAGTTGCCTTTTAAATTAGGTCGAGCCACATAAAGAAAATCAGAAAATATGCGTGAAATTACCATATGTGTCAGAAACGAAATCCGACAAGAGAGCGTTATTTCTGCCTTTCAAACAAGGGAGGACTACATCAGAGGTAGTCCCATACCATTTGGCTAAGATCCGATCATTGAATCATGAATAAATTAACTAATTAAATTGAGCATTAAAGTCCTTTTTTGGTGGCCTAAAAATTACTTGTTTTTTTTATAACTCGGCCACAAAAAGATGCATTGTATACGATAAAATATACAGTCGTTCCCACTACAGTCGGGTTTACGTAACCAGAACGACCCAAATTTATATCTGGCCAAGGACCGTCCTTCTAGTAACACTCCCCAAAACTCTTTGGGGAATATGTATGCCGTTACAATAGCAACATAAAATATACAGTAAATTTTTGGCGTAACTATAGGGATTTCAGCTACAATATTTTACCAGGTGATGATTTATGGGGTGTAGAAGAAATTTGTATCAAAAAGTCAATTTCGTAAAAATGGCACATACTTATTTCGCGCGAATGGGACGATATTTAAAAAAAAATCAAATTCCATTTACATAAATATATACATACCCAATAAACGTTAGGGCGAACGTTCGAAAATGACATTCGATATCCAATATGTATATCGAACTGGGAACCAACTCATAACCAACCTTAATTTTCCAACGTTTATAGTGTATTGGAAATACACTCGGGATGGGTTCGAAAAAAAATAGAAACCATAGTAACAACAGAGAAAGTGATATCGAGCTTATTCTCGAAGGGAAATATAAGAAAATCACTCCCTCTCATTAAAATTCGAATTCGATAATGGGCTGGATTTCGAATTCATAACGAAAGAAAAATTGGATAACGAAGGTTGCGCTTTGGACTAGTTCTCGAATCGAATACTAACCTATTTCGCACACGCTATCGAAGGTGAGACCCGAAAAAAGATTGGTTTTCGAATCATTTTCGAATTGTTAACTGAGCCGAAAGTTTATTAGGTACAAACAGTGACGAACAAAAGTATTGGCAGAGTGAATTTCTCACAATATATGCAAAGTTTTTTATTCTAATTTATTTTCTATAATTTTTTATAAAAATATAGTTCGTTTTACACCAAAAAACATAAATATAAAATCTCTAAACTTTGTGCAAAACTCAGGAAAATTCAATAAAATTGCACACTAATCTGGAACTTTCCATTCAGATCTTTTAAATAAATTCTAGGAATGCAGTTTCATAGTCCATTCAATTTTAGTATGACAAAATGCAAGTTTAAAGTTGCTAGAAAATCGCGTTGATTTTTCCCAATTTTTTTTAGTGGAAGGTGTTGCCCATTTTCTCAATACAAAAAATAATTGTCGAATATACTTTGTATGGAAGAACTTGCGTAAAAAAATATTACCAAAAATCAACGCGGAGAAAACCGACTTCAAACTTGCACTTTGTTATACTAAATTTTAATGGGCTATAAAACTGCAGACTTAGCATTTTTCTAAAAAAATCTGAATAAAATGTTGCAAATTAATGTGCAAACCTAGTGAATTTTTCTAATTGAATTTTATAAAATACGATCAAATAAAAAAAAATATAATCATAAAATAAAGTAAAATGAAATTAAACAAAATGAATATAAAACAAGAAAGCTTAAAAATAAATAAATAATAGACTAAATAAAATCAAAGTTAAAAAATTTATAAAAAATCTAAATAAAATAAAATATGAAAACTGAAAACAATAAAATCCAATAAAATAATAAAATAAAATGAAAAAAAAACACAAAATATAAAATAAAAAAAAGTTAAAATAAATAAAGACAAATAAAAAATTACACGAAATTTAAATATATGCACACATATATATAAAAGAAATGTATTTGGCACGTTTTCACATTTAGGTAACAATATGTAACATTGTGCTTACTGTCTTATTGTTGTCGTCACAAAGCATCTGCACTGTTTAGTCCGGTTTCTATCCCTTCGTTAATACCACTCGCATGTGTAAATAGCAGTAATTAGTTATTTATAACAAAGCTAACTAAAAGCCTGAATGGAGAAAGGAGGAAATTTCTAGTGCAACTCGCAAAAAATCTAATTTTTATTAAGGTTCTACTTTGTGAGCGACCTGACCTAAAGCTCGGGGGTTTTCAGACGTTCATTTGTAGGAATAAAAAAAACAGTTATTAAACAAATGTGGCAGTTACCAAATGCGATAAAAAAGGCTGCTTACAATTGTAACTAAATTTTGCGTATTTTGTAAAATCCATGAATTTTCTTGTGATAAGTAGTCGTTGGGCGGAATTTGTTTAACATTTGTGTGTATAAAATATACTTCTCTATTTCTACAGAAGAATAATCCTAGGTTTTAGAACATTGTGCCACTTTAAATTTCCAAAAAATTGTTTTGAGAAAGATCGAGTAAACTTTTTACTTAACAATGGTTTTTTGTTGAGCTGAACCAATCAAACGCAAAAAATGTAAATATGTACATATATGCCCTGGTGTAATTTTTTCTGTTTGTCTATTTGGGTATGTGTAAAAAATAGTCGCCTCTCAAAATTATTTTAATTTTTTAAAGTCAGTACCGCATAATCCGTACTGATATTATAAATACAAAAGTGAGTTAGTTTATTTGTTACGCTTTCATGCTTTAACTACTCAACCGATCATAATGCAATTTCGCACACAGGTGTCATTTAGCCCAACTTAAAAGATAGGATAGCTTTTATTTCGATTTGGCGAAGCGGCGTGGCATCTCCCGGAATGGGAATTTTTCATACTACGTACCTCTGGAAGTATGAGTGGTAGAGTACTGGAGCTTGGTATGGAGATATACGAAATCAATACTATGCTCATGGAAAAAATTTGGGTCATGGAAAAGGGCCCGTCGCACCCGCCATACGTACTGAATTTTTTATACTGCTAAATAACTTTAAAAAAATTTACTTAAATTAAAAATATTTGATAAGTTAAATGAACTATTACAAT